AACTTCTTGGAAATAATTAATGAAATCCCAAACAATTAAGAAATACATGTTGACCTAGATCAGGATGCACAAAACTGAAAATTTTATTAATTTTAGTCCTCAAAGCTGTGGACTATGTTGTGACCTAGTGGTCAATAAAATGAGCGCTAATTTTGGAGATCAGGGTTCAAATTCCAGGAGAAAAAAAAGTACTAGGCGACGAATTATTCGATAGCTGTGCAAGTGAGATAGATGAAATAATTTAGGTGAGCGCAAGCTGCTCGACTCTATTCTTATTTTAAAACATCAGTTGACTATGTAGATTTGAGCTCAGAAAGAATATTTATTGGTTAAAAGCTGATATGAAAAGATGTTGGATGAAACATCCAATGGGCAAATGTTGGATGAGGAATTGCATTATTTGCAAAGCCAATAATTTAGGAGATTCAAAACATGGACTTGTTAAAAGTACAGACAAAAACTGAAAAACAAAGTGGAATTATCTGTAAAATCTGCAAGTATAAAACTTAATGTTTGTTGAGTAAGTTCATGAACTTGTCAATAATTAGGGAATATTACTAATAAATGTTATTCTATTTCCAAAAGGCTGCACTTATCATGCTATCTACACAGTTAAAACTTGCAATTTGGACATGCTAAGTTTTCTTTGTAACCACTTATTGATCCAAAACATTAGTAGTTTAAATAATTGTTGCATTAACTTAATGGTATCATGTGATCTGTTTATTTTTTACTTTTCCTTTAACTTATTTTTTTGGCTTTTATTTGAGTAAAGAACATTAAAGTACAAAGTCTTGGTTTTTGCTATCTACTTCCAGCTCAGTAGGTTACTTGGAGTCCAACAATTGGTTTGAGTGTTCTTTGAAAGATTTTTGATCTTAAATTTGAAGATTGCATATCTAGGAAGTTGATTCAATGATGGATAATTCTTCTTAAATTATTGTTCAACAGATCTATGGAAGATTGCATTTGAATGTACATCCAATTATCTTATGAGTTTAATACTAAAAACTTCTATCATAATATTTTTCGGTTTAATAATAATAATAATAATAATAATTTTTCACTTACCAACCAACCACCAAAAAAATTTCTAAGAAAGCACTAATAAATCTCTCAGCAGGAGACTTATTATATACAGAGAAAATAATTCGGACGGATCCGAATGATTAAGTTGTTGTGTTTATTATTACTACCAACACAGTCGAAGAGTGGACAGGGACGCTCTTATTATATTGCATGCATTTTGGTAGAGTCCCACCCATCGATGAAGAGTCGTATGCAATTCATACATGGGCAAAAGACAGACTAACTTTGAAAGCGAAACATGATCATATATAAATACTATTAAAAAATAAGAATTAGCGACGTACAAATTCTGTTGCTAAACAGAAAAACTGTCGCTAATTCTATTTAGCGACAGATTATGAATTTTTTTTGTTAGATACGAGTTAGGGACGAAGTTCTTAGCTATTTCCATTTTTTAAAAGTGAAATTTCCGCTATTTCGGGTCTCATAAACAGCTGGTTTTCATTACTCTTGCTATATTAATTTTGTTCAAAATTTCATCCAGCTTTCTTATTTAATTTTCTCTTTATTGATTGGTTTCCTTGTTTGGAGGAGAGGGTGAAGTTTAAGTTCTTACATCTGGCAGCGGACACAACAACCATAATACCAAATCATAATGTGAACACTTTGATTGAACAAAAAGATTGCCTAATTATAAGGAGTATTTGATTACCTATTAAACTTTACACAACATAGGTATAGTTATATAAGAAATTTGAGGCATCTGATATAAAAGGAAAAGAAAGCACATACCAACCAAAAAATTAAATAGTTACGACACATCAAGAAAAATTAAGCATCCACAAACATAAAATCCTGGATCCGCCATTGGACATAAGTGACTTGCATCATTGAGTCAACTTCACATGAAAACATGAATTCTTATGAAGAAGTCGCATATAGTTATTTTAACATGACAAAAGATAATTTTGTGACCTTATTGCTATAACATATATAAACTTTAGTCCTGAAGTAATCTATATCTATGTACTATATTAAAAGTATAAAGGCCCTTAGCGAAATGTCGTTCGCCTTTTTTACCCTTTAAAAATATATTATATATTGGATAAAATAGTAATTTAAGTTATTTGCCTTAAATTTAGGGCTTCAAAATTAATTATATTTTGTATATTAAATACTTCCTTGTTTAAAATAGGTATGAATGCTAATTTATAGGACTTACTTTTATCACGTTTGGTTTTCCATTTCTTTTATTAATAAGAGATAATGTGATTATTATATTTTAAATTCTAGATTATTTAATAAAATACCTACAATAAAAGACTAAAATTTAAAACTAATGTTTTTTTTTTAATTTTAAACTTGATTTTTATAAGCAAAACAGAAAATCTGAAGTCCCTCCAAATTACTGTTAATTATTATATAAAAAAACTTTATTTAATTATTTATTTTAGAAGTTTAAAATTAATAAAACTTTTATTTATTAATTTTTTTTATTATTTGGACTAAAATTTCTAATACTTAGAACTTTAAAATATTAAAATTTTACTTTATATAGATCATTCACTTAAATTATGCGAGGTACCTTATGCACGAGACTATCTTTTTTTTTTAATTCTAATTCTAAGTCATTCTCTGGAGTTAATATGTCATGAAAAAGTCTTCTTTCAATTATAAATTCTCTCGCAAGCTTGTTAGTATCCTTTTACATGTATTTTTTTCATTGCTATTTAATTTGATTTTGTGATCATATGAAAGTTGTAGATTATTAGTTGCCTGATTTTATATATATATATATATATTGGTACTAACTGATTATATATTTTAAGTTATCATTCAACACTATTTAGGTTTAGGATTTGTTCTGGCTGAAACTGAAAAAGGAAGCATGATAACTTGTGAAATTAAAGTTGTAAGGTTTTTAAGGACTTGTTCTTACTGAAACTAAAAAAGGAAGCATAATAACTTGTGAAATTAAAGTTATAATATTATTAAACTGAAATAACTTTTAAGTTGAATAATTAATTTATGATTGAGGATTTTTACGTGAGCTTCTTTATTTATTTAGTTATTATGCACATTTAACATATATAATTATCTTTAGGAATTTATACTTTTATTTTATTGTTTAAACACAAATTTTAAATAAATTAGTACTCATTGAGATAGAATACACGCACATCGCGCGTACCTTGAGACTAGTGGAAGTAAAATTGGGTGAAGTACATAAATAGGTCTCAAAGTGATGATCTTGAATGTTTGTCACTGCTTGCCTTATGGGTAGAACTTCAAATTTAACAAGTGTTGTCCCTCGCTTACCCCATGGACAATACTTTTAACTTTTGGGTTGAAGTTTTGCCCATGAGGCAAACAAGATTAACGATTATCCTAAAATATGGTTAAAATAGCACGGTCTAGCCAATTTTCGGATTGATCATTCAAAAATTGCCAGCGTTTGCCAAGTCATTGAAAAATAACCACTATTTTGCTGCAACAGAGACCGGTCCATCATAATATACTGGAGTTCGATGCACCTGTGTATGAACTTCCAGCATATTATGCTGGACTGGTATACTTTGTTGGTATAATATACTGGAGAGTGGAGCACCGGTGCTCCAAACTCCAGTTTATTATGCTGGACCGACTGGATTATACTGGAACTCAAGTATATTATGCTGGAGTATTTTTTCGGATTTTGAACAGTGTTTTCGTTCAGATATATCTTTACATAAAAAGTGGCTAAATTTCGATTACTTTTGAAACTGTGGATATTTTTGAATGACCACTTGTAAATCTGACTATTTTTGAATTTCTACAATTTATCGAGTAAAATTTGTAATCCATTTGGGCCTTTGGACAGCTACTGTTATTCGGGAGAAATTCAAAAATAGCCAGATTTACCACTGGTCGTTCAAAAATAACCCAGTTTCAAAAGTAATCGAAATTTAGCTACTTTTCATGTAAAGATAAATATGAGTGAAAACACTGTTCAAAATCCGAAAAATACGTCAGTATATTATACTGGAGTTCCAGCATAAGTATGCTTGAACTACAACATATTATACTGGAGTTCCAGGATAAGTATGCTGGAACTCCAGCATAATATGATGAAGTTCTAGCATAAGTACACTAGAACTCCAGCATAATATACTGGAGTTCCAACAAGTATAATTGTCCAGTATAATATACTGGAGTTTGGAGCGCCGGTGCTCCAGTCTCCAATATATTATACTGGATTTCAGCAAAGTATACCGGTCCAGCATAATATGCTGGAGTTCATACACAGGTGCACCGAACTCCAGTATATTATGCTAGACCGATCTATGTTGCAGCAAAATAGTGGTTATTTTTCATTCACTTCATAAACGTTGGCTATTTTTGAATGACCAGTCCGAAAACTGGCTATACCGTGCTATTTTTACCTGTTATTCAGACCTTTGGTACTAATTATTGGCCCATTAAACACTTCTTGAGCCATTAGGCCACTTCTATTTAGATATAGAGTTGAAAATTTCTACAAATTTCAACAGGTATGGAAAAGTTTCCTAAGAGATTTTGGGTTAAATGCTCATACTTAGAAGTTATATGCTTGAATTTTAGAGGAATGTTTATCGATTGAGTTAATATCTAAAGGATATTTAAGCCAATTAATCATAGTGATCTAGCATACCAAAGACATGTCTTATATGCTTGAATGTTAGAGCTATATATGCCACAACTTTAGAGCAATCTTTATCGATTGAGATAATACCAACACTTAGCAAGGAAGAGAAATCAGTGAACTAGCATATCAAAAACAATTTTAACAGATTAACGTTTAGCTTTCCATTGAAATTAATTACTTTAGATAATTAAGAAAAAGATAAGAATAACGTCATAAACTTATGAACTGACTGTGCAGTCGAATCCAATTAGTCAACTAATAATTAAACTGATTATAGGAAGCAATGATATAATTTGAGGCCATGAACTCAACCAATAATCTCTATGCAACAAACTATAGATAAATGAAAACAAATGGGGTTTGAGTCTCAAAGGAAGAAAAATCATGTCTTTATTCATATGGTAACAAACATTTCATGAAACATCATAATAAACTGTGAAAGACAAAGGCTTATATTTGCTCTCCAACAACTTATTAGACTTAAAACCTGCAATGTTCAAAATGAATTAAGAGTTAGAGTTAAAATGGCTAGATCATAAAATATCAATAATCAAAAGAATCTGCATAGAGATCAAGTTGAATACCTAGACACACTAATGTCTTTTCTTGTGATTTTTCATTCTCGTAACGATTCTTTGTTCCAATTCTACAACTATCCTGGAAAACCATAATGGATTTTGAGTTGACAACATTATGTATATCATCAACAGTCCAATAACTAGTCCACAACCATAACCCATGAGAACCGCCTGCCAATTGATCATTGATGAATCTTCTTCTTCTCCTTGATCTAGCACAACTGGAGTTGTCGCTTCTGTTACTCCATCATCACCACAGCCTCTTGAGAGTGGAAATCCACGTAACCCAACATTCTCTTGGTATGAACTGTTCCCAAAAGTATCAAATTGATTTCCTTTAGGGATGCATCCAACGAGATGATTGTGAGAGAGATTTAAGACCGCAAGAGATGTTAGAGATGCAAGTTGTTGCGGAATTCCTCCGCCAATTTTGTTAAATGAGAGATCCAACGATTCAAGTACATACAAATGTTGTAATGATGCTGGTATAAGACCTTCTAAGCCATTGTGAGACAAGTTCAACGTACGAAGTCCAATAAGATCTCCAATAGTACTTGGAATTTGACCTTTAAATCCATTCTTTGAGAGATCAATAACTATGTTTGTAGTCAAAACTTTAACAAATACATGATCCAATCCTTTTGTTGTAACTGTCACAGAATAATATTTATTTCCTACATACCTTGGTGTACTCCTATTCTCATCAATTAGTTTCATAGATTGGAAATTCTCAAAAAGATTTGCTGGTAAATTCCCACTAAATGCATTGGATGAAAGATCCATGATTTGAAGTTGTGCAAACAAGTGTCTATTCCTTGAAGCTCTGATGGACCCATGCAACTTATTTGATCTCAAATTTAAAATCTTCAAATTTGGTAGGACTCCCAACCATTTTGGAAAAGTGTCGTTCAACTCATTGCTACCTAAATCAAGTAGTTCCAAATAGTTGCAATTGATCAAAGATCCCGAAACTTTCCCCTCTAACTTATTCCCATGCAATTTAATGACTCTGAGATTATTTCCAGTACTAAAATTTGCTTGAATTGTCCCACTAAGATTATTATTGCTTAAATCCAAAACATAAGTTCTATCCATTTCACCCAAACATTCTGGGATTGTTCCCTGTAAATTATTACTTCCCAGATCTAACAACTGCACTGTTTTAAGATTGCAGATGGTTGAAGCAATCTGTCCACTGAGATTATTTTGAGAAAGGCGAAGAAATTTTAGGTTCTGCTGGTTTAGGAGTGACTTTGGAATAGGACCTTGCAGCTTATTTTTTTTGAGAATAACGCACTTTAATATTTTGGACTTGAACTCTTCAATTTTGCCACTGAAATGGTTATTGCTCAACTCTAAATGATATAGTGATGAGAGGGAATATATCCAGGATGGTATAGTCCCATTAAAGTAATTAAATGACAAGGAAAGTTTGTTTAGGTTTTGCAAACCACTTACATTGGAAGGAATTGGACCAGTTAGGAAATTGGATGAAATGTATAAGTGCCTAAGTTGTGTCCCATTCAAGCACTCAAGTCGGCCATCGAAGCTGTTATTTCTGAGCGATAATCTCTTGAGATTACCGAGTCTGAAGAGCTGGGAAATTGGTCCTTCAAGTTGGTTATCTTCAAGGATCAAAAACTCTATGCGAGTTAGATTCCACAGAGGTTTTAGAATAGGCCCTGAGAGATTACAAGAGCTCATGTCCAGTTCATACAATGAAGTTAAATAGCTAAATGATTCAGGTATACTACCAGTACAATTCACACTATTGAGATATAAATCCGTGAGAGATGTACTGCTATTCCATTTGGTCATCGGAAATCCAACTGTGAGTTGGGTATTGTACGATAAGTCAAGAGATTTCAAGTTGGGAAGGTGAAAAACTCTTTCAGGTAATGTCCCATATAATTGCGTGTATGGAAGAAGTAGAGTTGCTAAATAAGAAGAGAAATTTAGAGGAATGGTGGAAGAGATGTTGACAGAGTTGAGCTCAAGCACTCTTAATTGGGTCAAGTTCTTAACGAGTAGTTCAAAATTGTGAGATCCAAGTGTAAGCTCATTTGGATAATCCCTCGGGATACGAAGAACGTATAATTTAGAAAGATGAGAGATTTCTGCAGGAATTTGACCTGAAAACCTTGAACTTGATAAGTCAAGATGTGTCAAACTAGAAAACTCACCAAATTTAGGCGAAATGTGCGATCCAGAGAAATTATTAAAAGATAAATTAAGCTTGTTGAGACTGGAGAGTTTGAAGAGGCTACTGTTGGAATGAAACTTGCCTTGAAGTTGGCTGCATCGGAGATTAAGCTCAATCACTTGGCCTGTTGTCTCGTCACAGTTAACTCCTTCCCATGAGCAGCAATCTCTACTCCTATTCCACGATAATGTCGTTGGATAAGAATTAAAACAACGAGAAGCGTCAGGATTTATGGTAAACATCTGTTTGAATTGTAGAAGAGCAAGAGCTTGATCTTTAGGGCACAAATAAGTTGAGGATGAGGAGAAAGCAAGTCTAGAGAGAAGGGCACATAGCAGAAACAATGCAAGTTTTTCATAACCCATTTCTGCACTATAAAGATCAAGAAATATTTGCTTTGTTCCTCTATTGAATAATTCTGAGGTATATATAGCACAAAGCAAAGAAAATTTACTATTGTTGCTTTGCAGTAATCAATTCCAGGAAGCTTTAATGGGAAAAATTTTGAGAGTTAAATTTTGAGTTGTCATTTTCGGTCAAATTCATATGCACATTCTGTGGTGAAGCTTTAATGGAAAATATTTTTAGAGCGATAAGACTTATTCAGTGATAGTGTATATATTTTGACACGTTTAAGAGGAAAATTCACCAAAGTGATCATTACAATGAGATGAGGATAAGGAGAAAACAAGCTGACAGAGAAAGGCATATACAATGATAGTTTTCCAATGCCCATTTCTATATCTAAGTATTTGGTAGAGAAGAAATCAAGAAATCTTCCTCTATATAACACAAATTAAGCCAAGAAATCTTTAATTACTACTGTTACGTTGCACATATCTTCTCTGCACTAATTATCAAGTAAAAGTATTAACTAGTGTAAGGACCATGACAAAAACTTTTAAATTCAAATAACTTCAGTTTGATAACATAAATACGGCAAAGTTTGTCCTAAAAATCTATTACTAGATTCTTTAATTCCTTCATCTCTACAAAACAACAAAAAGAAACTGCCAAAAAAGAAAGAAATACAAACAAAAAAAGTTATTAATGTGTTTGCTTTCTTTGTTTTCGCTGTATGAAACATTCTCTCACACCCTTTTAAGTCAAAGAAGAAAATAAAATAAAATAAAGAAAAAGTTTGATATGAAATGGGGAATGGAAGAAAAGAAGGGCCACAGTTCATAAGGCATATGTCGGTCCACAGACCTTGACCTACAACTCAATAATTCATAAAAAAACAATTCAGTAGGTCTTTGTTTTCGACTGATATATTCATTTGAAGTGTGCTGCAGGATTAGTGTTAGATATGAAATAAACATAAGGAAAAATAAAAAAAACAAAAAGTCGAAGCAAAAATAAATATAGCACAACTTGTGGGAAAGGTCGCCATTAATGTTGTCACCAAAAACATTATTTCATATAGTGCTCTAACAGTAAGAAACATGAAAGTGTGAGTTGCTGAAGCCAAGTAGATTATACTTTAGAGTATTATTTTTCGCATAAAAAATATTAGTTAATCCAAACAATTGTTTTTTTAAAATTTTACATATAATTATTGTGAAAATTTATATGTAAAGGCACCATCGGGACCAAGGCCTCATTTAGATCTAGTTCGTGAGGATACCATCCAATGGTATTATAACTTTGTGCCATAAGGGCGATACGTCTCCGAAATGGGGATCAATGTGAAAGCTCTGGAAAAGAACTTCCAGGATGTGCTTGCCCGGTTGGTAGAGATGAAGATGGATACGCTCATAGAGTGCCCCGGCCATACAAATTTGAGCATGGTGCAAGAACTTTAAGCCAATTGGAACGGGGGCTTGTTCAAGTCATGGGTCCGAGGAAAAGAGGTGCCAATGGATAGGTGTTCCTTATGCGAATTTTTGGGAGTTGATAACCTTAACCCACGGAGGCTACAAAATTTTGTTAAATGCCCAAGCTACCAGGCAATACGTCACACTCTTTGTGGCGTAGATTCTAATGCAAAGTGGACACGGACTAAGGGGGATGTCCATCTTGAGATGATCCACTTCGACTTCAACAAGACTGCCAAGGTGTGGCAAAACTTTGTGCAGGCTAGGTTGATGTCGGTTGAGCACAATAATGAATACACTCGAGCTCGAGTGTGTATTATATTTTTCTGATGACTGGATGACCCGTCAATGTGGGTGAGATCATGCTAGGGGAGATGGCCGCACCCGCTTTGGGCGAAAGATCAAAAGATTCTTCTTTGTCAACCTCTTGATGCAATACATGATTTCCCGTAGTGTACCCCGGCTATGATGAGGTGGTGGAAGCACCAAAGGGAATGCTGGACATTACGTTCTTGTTGGAGTCTACGTCAAAGCTAAGCCAGGCTGCGAGGAATGAGAGGGACGAAAACTTTAACAGGTATCTTAATAGTTCCCTCTATATGACATAGAGCAAGCTAGGTGTGACTGATGAGAAGCGTATGCATCTACGCAATGATCTCTCTATTTCTCCAAAGGAGATGTTGGGGATTGCGTCTGGAAGTCCCATTCACATGTGTGAGGACGAGAAGGCCCACAAAGGCTCTGATGATGAGGATGAGATTGGTGATGAAGTCACAAGGCCCGTGGCTTTGGTGGCCCTGGGAGCGGATGGCGATGATGAGCCCGGAGCTGCGACTGGTGGGCATTCTGAGGAGGAGGAATCCAGCCAGCGGGGAGTTCTTTCTTTCAACCTTACTTTGTTGAATTTATTTATGCATCGGGGACTATGCATTATCTAAGTGTGGAATGGAAAAAATACTTCCTGACTTGTAATTGTATAAAATTAATTTTTTTTAGCTTAGTGTAGAACTCACATAGTCTAATTAGTTAGTAGTAGTTGGAAAAAAGGAAAATAAGAAAAAAAAACAAATCAGAAAAAGCTCGGACTTTTCCCGACGATAAATCTTTTGGACAGTTTTCTTGAGGAACTAAAATCCGATTAAAAATACCAAAAAGATTTTCTTTAGTTTTTGTTAGGATATAGATTCTTTAATTCCTGAGGGATTATAGATTCTTTAATTCCTTCGTCTCTACAAAACAACAAAAATAAGCTGCCAAAAAAGCAAGAAATACAACAAAAAAATAATATTAATGTGTTCGCTTTCTTTGTTTTTGCTGTATCAAAGATTCTCTCTCACTCTTTTAAGTCAAAAGAAGAAATTAAAGAGAAAGAAACTTTCGTGGAAACAGAAAAAAATGAAATAAAGAAAAAGTTTGATATGAAGTGGGAAATGGAAGAAAAGAAGGGCCACAACTCATAAGGCATATGTCGGTCCACAGACCTTGACCGCTAGCTTTGTGCACTGTGACAATGGTCGTTAAACAAATGCATCAAAAATACATGCAAATACTTTGTGACGAGTAAGAAGGTCGCCACAAACAGGGGTGGCGGGTCTGGTAACATCGCTTCGTCGGAAAATTATGCTCTATTATAAAAAAACGAAATAACTAGCAAATATATTAAAATAACAGTGCTCATCACAAAGAATGGCGCAGCTCTCATGGTTAGTGCCTAAAGTTAGCGTGAAAGTGTCGTGGGTTTGAAACTAGTAGTTACACGTCGATGTGTTTTAAACTTTTCAGCATGTTGGGTCTAGGGCTCTAGGCGTCGAACATAAACAAAGTTTGGTTTATTTCGGCGGCAAATATGAGTTTGTGTTCCGCTTGCTACTATTTCTATTTTAAGTTATTTTGCATCTTATCTTGTTTTTTTCGGCGACGGAATTGATCAAGACTGATTTGCAAAATCAAAAAAATTAAGTCTCTTTGAGTGATTATTTTTGGTACTTACAGACAAAAAGAAGTATTAAGTACTATTTTTAATTGGGATATTATGAGTCTATTCCAAAAGAGTATAAAAGCTAGTTGAGGAGAGTTATAGTAGTGTCCTTTATTAGTATGAACTGAATTGTATTTTTTATAGTATATATAATGTCATTATATCGGATTGTTCATCTATTTCTTTAGATGTCAATATTGCTTACCGAAGGATTGCATATAGGTATTCGTAACACGCAATGGAAGACAATAACAATCCTAGGCAGATCTTTTCGTGTTTAAAATTTATTTACATGTCAAAGATCGGATCTAAGACGTACCTGGTGAAGAGAGTCTCGTTTCAAATTTCTTCGATAGTGCGAAGACTCTATGCGTATCCATACCGAGACCGATCCCTGCTATCAACTCTTTGATCAACGAAACCCGCGAACAAATTGAACGGAAAACTTGTGATGAAATTTTTCTCAAAAATCTCAACTCAAATTAGAAGAACAAGAAACACTTTTCTTGTAATTGTATTTTCTCTCTTGGCTTTGTATTGCACTCTCACTTTCACAAAGTATTTTTCTTCTCAAGAACTAATAATCGAAGTCGCACGACAAGAACTGTTCTTGTATGTTTTTCTCTTAATTTTGTGGCCTCTTAACCCTTAGTGATGTATTTATATATCACTTAAGCCAACAATATCTTTCATTGGGTTAAGGGAAAATATAAACGTGATTTACTTCTTTTACAAGTTCATTCCAAAATTGAACTTTGTAAAACTTTTTCTATTAGAAAACTAAATCACATTCAGTATAGGAATAGAAGCCACGTCCTTTATGGACCTTTTAATTCAATCCAAATTGAATAGTACAAATCCCATTCTTAATAAGATGTACGTGATTGAAATAAGCCGACAAGTCCTTTTTGACTTTTACGTTAATCCAATTACAAAATTAAATTGATATTATATACAACTTTTATATAATTAATATATACATTACAACCAAAAGATATAATTTAATTTTCTATTCCAAATAGAAAACTTCAATTTGTTCACAATATTAACTATATCATTTGTGCTAGCAATGAATATAATAATATTTCACTTAGACTGATAACTAAATTTATTTGACTAATTAAATTTCTTAATTTAATTATCAAATAATAAGTTAATTAATCCTTTAGCAAAGATCAGAACACTCGTAAGTGTGTGACCCCATAGGTTCAATACTAAACCGGTAGTAAATTGATCACATCAATATACTAATCAAGGGTTGCGTCTAGCAACACTCCTTAACGACCGGATAACATAAAGTATACAATTTACTCTCAATAACCAGTAGAAGAATAATGTAGTAATTCCTTCTGTCCTTATAGCTCTGGATCACCCTAGGATATGGTTCAACTGTCAAATCCTAATAGGCGACCAACTATGTGTTCACGTCAAATATAATCGACCATTGAATGACCTAAGAAACTCATTTCTTCTTTCATTCAATTGCCCTGGCCAAGGTCTTAATTTGGTCGGTTATAATTCATGACAACATGGAGCTTAAACTCATTACCAAGAGTTGACAGATTCCATCTTGATTAATCACTAATTCTACAAGTATTTAATCGTGCCCAATATCCTTTCAACTATCGCCCTAGAGCCATAGGTGTCTAGCATCAAAGCACAATAAATAACTTGTCAATTACTATGACGATCTCAGGTCAAAGGAAACGGTTACATCACATTCTTCAAGAGAATATCCTATTGACAGTTTATGGTAATTCTAACCATTAGGAATTATCCAATG